GTGGCAAAACTTTGTCTTAATCTCCTTAGCAGAGCACATCCAGCTGACAACAAAATGCAAAGCTTGTAACACCAAATGTTGAATGAAGAGAAGTGAAAAAGACAGCTTAACGGCAACCCCCAGAAATAGAGAGAGCTAATACAGTGACAGGGAAAGCGATTATGTGCCCAGATATGATCAACTCCACCGAGAGCTCTAAACCGATCTCCAAAAAGAGAGATCCTCAAAAAAAAAAGGAAGCAGTTTTGGGTCAATTGCTGAAAGAAAATCAAGGCACTTGTAGTTGCTCATTCTAATTTCCCAATTTCAATAGAACCATACGTTAGAGGTCTGAATGGGTCAATATTTAGGAGCCCGGCCCAGCTCGGTCCACCCGCGGCCTCTTATTAATTTCAGACAGCTGGCCCGGCCTGACACCGATTTTCGTTTGCCCGCCTGATGCCCGCTCCATTTTCGCCCAATATGTATGAATAACAACTTTCAAATTGCGAGCTTGCCACTGACTGCTACACATGTTGGCAACTGTACCCAATAGTAATAACCATCATCATCTTTTTTTTTCTTTTTTTTTTTTGCTGCTATTATACTAGGGCCAATCTGCAAGCCTAAGCAGCTCGTTAAAAAAAATAAAAATAAAGACCCTCTTGACCTTTTCTGTGACTAAACCCATGTATTAAAAGGACGGAAAAAAAAAACCAGCAAGCAGCAATAAACAAAATTACGTGCCAAAGTCAAAAGAAAGGGAAACGTTGCGATGAATTCAGACAGAAGACGGGCAAAGTTCTAAATTGCCCACTCCCACTGTACACAACCGAAAATTAAAGCATGAAAAATTTGGCCGTCTCTTGCAACAGCCTGCGAGAAACTACGTAGAAACCGTGCCCCCAAGGGGAATGTCTTCACTCATATTTTGGATGCACGCACTCGCACGTTCAGACAGTTTACACCTGCTAGGCTGCACATTGCATAGGCGCGTATGTGTGCATCTTCGTAGGGAAAAGCGACTGCGCGATGGTGGACCACCACCGGCGAAAATGACCGCCGTGCCACTGGTGCTCTGGAGGAGCATTTGGTACACACAGACCAAACTACAAACACACATACACACATGCTTTCAGCTTTTGGGTCTCCCCCACTGTGGTCCCTCTCCCAAACCTCATAACAAACTTCCAAAAACATTGCTGCTAAAAAAAAAAAAAAAAAAAGTCACGGCCAGCTTGGTATGCTTTGGCCGGCCTCATAGATTTGAACGCAAGGCCTGTGACTGGCTCGGGCCCTTCGTAAACGTAACCTTGAAGCCTAGCCTGTGGGCTGACCCTTAACCGTGCGACCCCTACCTGACCCATTGGCTTAAAATGAGCAGTCTCCTCAAACAAAAAAACTGGAGAGAGAAATCCCACAGACGAAAAATGGGCATATCCCTTTGAACTATTCCATCTCACAAAACAAATAACAAGTGCCTTGACAAATGCAAATGCCTGGGTGGGGCTGTTCATTCTATATATCGCGATGCTTTCCAATAAATAGGCAGTCACAGCAGCACATGTTCTCAAGCAAGGTGTTAATAACGGCGAGGACAGGACAAAAAAAAAAAGACACACTAGAAAAAGTCGTTTAGGGACTCGTCGGATACCCCCGAGAAAGTTCACCAGCAACCAAACCGAACGACCCGCAAATGAAGCCAACTTTACCACATACCGAAAACCGGTAGCCAAAGATGTGACACTAGAAGAAGTACCTGTGATTCTGCTAAACTATACTGTTGCCTAACTCCTTAACACGTCTGCATCTATTTCATGTAAACGACCGCTACACACCCTACGGGTTTAAAAAAAAAATGTGCCCATTTCCTCCCGGATTAGAAAATGCATTGCCCATGCTAATGAAGGCAGACTGCAGATCATTGAAAATTAGTACAGTCAACCAGACTGGCAGAGTGCTAAATAGAAGGCAAGATCTAGATGACAGTGTAATAAAAAAAACTTTTATTGTAGGCTGAGTAAAACACGATCTGGGTGCAGACTTGGGCAAGAAACAAGACTTGCACAACAGTTGTTTCTTCTCAAAGTTAGGCCTACTCTTTTCCTCGAGCTCTCGAGGAAGAACTCTCGACCAGTGCGGCAGAATGGGGAAGGTTGGGGGTGCAGCTGGCAACCACGGCATCGTCAATGGGAGGGAAGAGTAGAGGGGCGACACAGATGCCGGAAAACGAGACACAGGCATCTTTGTCACTGCTAGACGCACTGCGGTCGATGCCGGTTTCAGCAGAAACATTCCCACGTAACGCAGTAAGAAAAAAAAAATGACAAAGAAAGAAACAAGAACCAGGCAAGATGCAACCTAACATCAAAACACACACACACACACACACACACACACACACACACACGGAAAGGTCAAAATTTCACAAACCAACAAACTGAAACCACATTTCTCTTTCTTTGTTAAGGAAGTGGGCACACAACTTCGGTTGACAATGAGTATGCACAGACAACATAGAAGGAAATCAACTTCCCGGTCAGAGCACGCAGCAACCGTGAGTGTGTGGTGTAAAAGTGTGAATCGCAACTACAACGTGGCTCGCAACATGCGTACGGGGTCACACACCGATCACAAACAACCATGCTTTTTTTTTAACAGTAAGAGACAGTTGCTGGTGGCAACGTGCCTTTTGGGGTAAGTGCTGTTAGTTCTGTTACCTGTTTCTGTTCTCCTCAGCTACTTTTATTATCATCCATCATTTTTGTTTTTGTAAAGCTTGAGGAAAGAGTTAGAAACCTAGTGGGTACAAACACCACTGCACTGGTCATATGGGAACATTCCAGGTGCAGTCTGTTTCCCCATTCTTTTCGACAGAGCCTTTTCGATGTCAGACAACTCCAACGGCTACCCAAACCAAAAAGAGATGCTCTTTTCTTGTGCAGCTTTAGAGAAAAAAAATGTTGGTGACTAGTGCTTATCATGATATGCTTCTCATCAGTATTATAATAGAACATGGTATTTGTTAGTTTAACAGAAAACACATTCAAATCAAAAATACAATCTTAAAACTACACACAGATCACTCAGGATAAAGAAAACTACTTGAGAAGCTAAAAAAAGACTGGTTTCAGAAACTAGGCCAAAACAATATTAAATAATTGTGAAAACACGCCATAGTGGCATTCGCCATTATAACAGACACTCGTAACACTAGCTACCTATGCATGTTCATACTGTCAGAATGCCTGGGGTGAGAGGCTCAGATACCAATCTACGGTAGATGGTACAACTGGTTGACAGATCTCCAGAAGTTCAGTCATATTACAACTACTAAGTAAAGTGCCTAACTAACCTTACCCAGTGAGAACCACAGACCCTAGAAGCCAAAAACACACTTAAAATTATAATCATTGTGTTCAGTCAATCTCTACTGATGCGAGGCATTTACTCTGTATTGTCACTATCACCAGACAGACCAGTACCATCTGTGCTCCTCTCAAGGCAGACATTCGGACAGATGAAAAAGCATCATTTAGACATATAGTAGTTTTCCCCCACTATAATATAGCTTCCTTTTCATCGGCTCAAAATTAGCCGACATTCCAACTGCACGGTCATGATGGCTTCCTTAAAACTGGTCTAGTACTCGTGAATTCTGGCCATGGCTAAAAGCTCAAGAAATATAACTGAAGATCAAAGAAAGAAACCAAGTTGTTTTACTTTTTCAAGTGCATTACTGTTGCATGACAACAGATCGCATCTAATTGCCTCAGTTTAATGAGGACTCGGCAATTACCTGGCCATGGCAGTTGGTAATGAGACATGGACCCGACGCCCAAACAAGGCAGACGTAGACGTTAATTCCCAGAACTATCCTTCGAGTAAAAACAGGAAAGGTAACACCCGATACCATGAAGAAAGAGCAGGTAGAATGAACAGAGCTGGAGTTGGGGCAGGCTAGTCTCAATGCAAATTTTCTGCCAATTCAATACATCAAGACAAGAAAGTGTCCAATCATTCAAGCAAATTTACAAAAGTAACAAGTTGACCAGTTCTTCATTGAATAAGGACTTTAACGGGCCACCATATTCTGCATAGGTGATAATATAGGAATATTTTATCTGGTTTAAGTTGAAGACTAATGTGATTCGTTCCCTTGGGGATTCTTTAAATCTCCTAATCATGTGCATTGAGATGAACCAACCACTGACAAATTCTCAATGATTGACTGAAAAGAAAAACAATTTTTTCTTAAAAAGATAATTTATGAAATATTTCAGTTCTTATCTTTTCAGCAATTATTCTGTTTTCTTGAAGCCACCTTAAAAAAATTTAGTGTCCTAAAAAAAAAAAAAAAGAAGCTAAATCACGTTTTGTTTTTTTTTAGCTTTTTTCAGTTCTGTCCTTATTTGGCTTTGCTTTGACTACCTACCCTGCATCGGGCTTTCCTTTTACACCCTTCTTTGCACTGGGCTTCCCTTTGATACCTTCTCTCTGTTCGGATTCCCCTTGCTACCCTCTCTGCATTCTGCTTCTCTTTGGCACCCTTTTGCGTTCAACTTCCCTTTTACACCCTTCTCTATATCTTGCTTCCCTTTCAAGCCCATCTCTGCATTTGACTTCCCTCTGACACCGGCCGTCTTTGTGTTGGGTTTCCCTTCGCTACCCTTCCTCCTGTTTGGCTTTCTTTTGACAGCCTTCTCTGCATTGGGCTTCTTTTCGACACCCTTCTCCATGTTTAGCTTCGCTTTGCTACCTTTTGGTGTATGGCTTCCCTTTTACGCTCTTCTCTGCAATCGGCATCTCTGTTAGGCCTTTCTCTGCATTTCACCCTCCTTATACACCCTTGTTCCTGCTTGGCTTCCCTTTTAGGCCCTTCTCAACGTCTGGCTTCCCTTTTATGTCCTCCCTTCTTGAGACTGCCACACGGCTCGTCCGCTCATCCTCCATGCTCCCGCTCCACGCTGTCGGGAAGGACGCCGCGAGAGAGTACCACGTGGGGGCGGCCGCCCACTCACCTGGGTCTGCAGCCTGGTGAGACCCCGTATCCAGAGGATCTGTCCCGTGCGCTTGACGTCCTGGGAGAGGGAGCCGCTGCTGCCGTCCTCCACGAGGGACGCCGTGGCATTCATCTCGTCGGGGGGGCCCGAGCCCCACGTGAAGGTCTTGGGGATGCGCTTGGTGGGCATGGTCGTGACAAACTGTCCCCAGACCAGGGTGCCACAGCCAAAGAACACACACCACAGCCACTGGTCCAGGGACAGGGCCTTCGTTTGGAAAAACATGCTACCGTACTGCACTATTATCACCTGCAGATGGCGGGCACGGGCGAGTCGCCGAGACGGAGCCAGCGGTGAAGGGAAAAAGGGGAGAGAGAGACAACGAAAGAATCAGAGAGGTAACTCACGCAAGGCAAAACGTCTCAAGAGGGGGTTCTCAGACTTTCTGATTTCAAAGAGTATGCCTCAAATGACAGCATCGCCCTTGGCATTGTTATAGTAAAATAGAGCAAAGGCCTTCAGCCTTTGCCTTTGCTGTATTTTACTATAACCATTTTTAACAACAATGTACATATTGCAGGAAGTCTTTGGCTAATTGCTGTATGTCAATGTGTAGTGGCTCCAATGAGCTAAAAGTGCTTACACCTGAAAGACACTTTATTCTTGGGAGAAGAGACGATTCAGAGGGCTTCGGCACTTTTATGGAATCCCTGGAAATTAGGAAACCGAGGGGCTCCCAATAATCTCGATTTCCCACATTGGGAACCCATAATTGCACAGTAGCTAGCATCACTGAACAGTTTAGACACACAATACAGTAAACTCTCACTTGAGCGAGCGATAGTTTAACAAAGATTTCAAAATAATGAACTTCAAAAAATCCTCAGCTGTTTTTCTATGCATTCTATGCAAAAATGCTTCAGTTAAACGAATTAACGAAATTCAGAATAGCGAATATTTCAGTTTCACAAACATGATCAGTGGAACCAGGATTAGTTTGGCAAATCATTTCAACGAAGTTCTGTGCTCTGCAGTGCTGGCGTAGCCAAAGCCCGCCGTCGCCGCCTCTGCAACGGCGGCGTATCATCGCTGGCGTTTATAGCGCCGCCGAGGCAAAGTGGCGGTGTGGTAAACAGAAACGAACCACGTGGTATGTCTGTTCTTTTTTTTGTCATCGGTTTTGTTTGGCCATTTTAGTTTTGGGTAACAACAGCAGGACGGCAGTTTGTACGCCCACTTCAAAACGAATACGACGAAACGGAAGCGGTTGTGTCCATCAGACAAGCTCAAAATCCTTCAGCGTCCGGACAACGGTCAAAGGCAACTGGACATTGCAAAGGACTATGGGATTCCACCGTCGACGTTGTCAAGAATAGTGAAGCAAAAGCCGAAGCTTGAAAGAAAAACTGCGTTCAATCCCAACAGAAAACAACTCTGCACGGGATGTTTCAAGCCAGTAGACAATGCCGTTGTAGTATGGCTTTGTCACAGCAACAAGCTGCGACTGAGGAAGTGCAAAAAATATAGACCCTCTCGACAGCCTTGTTACTTTATGCACTTTAAAAGCGTTGGTGCATATGAAAATTAGATTTTTTTTTTCAAAATGAGAGAGGCAGCAACATAACTGCTGTTATGCACTTTGTGTATATCGATGTACATGACTCCATAAATTGCATTTCACACTTTTGACTCGATGTATGCTGTGCCCTATGCTGTTCCATATTCTGGTGAATATATTCAGTTTGGTTAACTTTCAGTTAAGTACACTATTTCCTTGGGTCCTTTGAAATTCTCTATAGAGAGTTTACTTATTAACATGCTGAGAAGAAACCAGCCCTAGAATACAGCTTACCCAATGTAAAATCCTGTTCCAAAAACTGAAAATCATTTTCAAATTTAAATTAATTAACCTGACCACTGTTCTGAAAAGCACACATGGCTTCTTATTAGTACACCACATTAGCGGAAGACAAGTATTTATGTATTCAGCAGGTAGCCAGATTTCCTTTTGGTAGTCTTTAAAGTGAAAAGATCATGGCATTTGTACTTTCAAGGCCAATGTGTGAACTCTGGGCAGAATATGAATTAAGATGTGCCGTAGTGCTTCTAAATTAGTGTCCAGGACAAGTACTACAAAAGCAACTTCTAGGTACTCAAGAGAAGCATATGTGACGCTCCGTACTTATATGGCTGCAATGCATGTTCGCCGATTGATAGGAAAAAATAAGAACTAAATGACAAGGCAGTAGTGTCTGGTGCACCCTATATTGACAGTCTCTTATCTGCATGATGACATATGAAAGTGCCATTTAGGAAAACCTCCGAAGCAACCCCATTGAAAAGAGGCTTAAAACACTGTGCACTTGTGATGTGTGATGGATCATGGTGGTTGTCATGTGTTGAACTGTGTGATAAGTGTGCTGACTTTGCACTTGTGAAGTGTGATGAAGCGATGCACTGACCTGAGCAACTGCAGTGATGATCAGAATGCTATAGAAAATGGGATTGGTTAGGAGGCCCTCGAAAATATTGCGTTCCCCGTGGATCTTGCGGGCGTTCACCTCGTTGAACAGGGTCATCATGACAAACGTGTTGAAGATGATGGTGAAGTGCTCAGAAAGGCGCACCCCCATGCCTGGGTCGATGTCAAAGATCTCTGGGCCTGGAAGGGAACAACCCGGGGACAGGGTTCGACAAGTCTTTTTCCCCGGCCAGGCGTTGCGGGAACAGGCAAAGAAAGCACGGGACAATGTGTGCATAAGGTGTAGGGGAAATTCAGCTTGGCAGTAGCTGCAAGCAAGCTAATGCGAATGACTTCGGACGTTCGTAAACAGTCGAAGTTGACCACTCAATGCAGGACCGAGGCAAGTCGAGGATTTGCTATTTTTGGGGACTTCCCGTAGCTACCGTTTTACCCAATTTTTGGCATACCTCATAAACGCGAGCATAAACAACAGCTCCAGGCGACACTTGTACATACAGGGGCTGCTTCTTTTTAAGCTTCCCTCAATAGATCACTTTCACTCGAAAAGCTTTTAATTTATTTACGTCACAAATCTTGGGTTCCCATCGTAGAAGGTGTCTCGGAGCAGTTGAAATGCATTGTATTTGAAAGATTCTGATGTGCCCCAATTCTAAATCACGGGTAATCCTAGCACCGGGACAGGACCACCTATGCGAAAGAGAGATCAAATCATCCAAGAACAGGATCACATGTGTTCGAAGTAAGTGTCGCTAGCATGGCGTCACAGTTCTTCCACAAAATTTAGTGGGAAAATCGCGACACAGTGACATTACGTCACACAACACAGCGATACCTTACTAAATCTTGTGGGCCATGACATACACGAAACACATATGGGATCTGCCGCAAAATCTCGCCAGTAACGGCGTAAAGAGGCGCACATACCCAGGAAGAGGAGCACGAAAATGACGGTGAGCTGGTAGATGGCGTGGCCCAGAATGTTCTTCATCATGGTGCGGGAGATGAGGGGCTTGGTGCGGCCGTAGGGCTTGCGCACCAGCAGGCTCGTGGTGGGCATCTCTGTGGCCAGTGCAAGGGAGGCCAGGGTGTCCATGATCAGGTTCACCCACAGCATCTGTACCGCCTTCAGGGGACTGTCCTGCACTCACACACAGGGGAGAGAGGGGACATGAGCACCGTGCACTATATAATCCACCAACTTGCAGGTTCCCCGCTAAATTTGGCGAAAAAATTGACATCACGTGACCTATGCACCAATTAAGTTTCCCTGCTCAATTTGGAGGGAAAACTTATCACATCCTTAAAATCCTTTATTCATGAACAATGTATCAACACTAAATCAATGCAACATCATTTCAATATGAGATCACCGAATGACGCACGACTGGCACATGGTCAATCGATCGTCATCATCATATTGTCAAATAAGCAGCAAAGCTGACGCTGTCTAAATGCATCACATTGTGACCAATTAACATTTTTTTTGTATCCTTGTTCTAAAACACACAAACACCACAAAAAAAAAAAAAAATTTTTTTTTTCAGGCGATTTAATACGCCTCGCAAGTGGGCTCATTTTCGTCTTCTGCGCATGAGAAAGGAAGTAGCGGTGACGTCAGAACGCCGAGCCCTGATTGGCTGATCGCGACCCCCTTTCTCAGCGTCGTCTGCTCCTTTGCAACGTCGTCTGCTCGCAACATCGTCTGCGTCTGTCTTACCTTTCCTGCGACTTTCGGAGCGAACTCGACTTGGCCTTTAAGGGAGGGCAGACGAAATAACTCGAGCGGTACGTTGTTTTCGTCTAACAACTAGCAGACGCGCATCAAGGAGGGAAGTCAAAGGACTCACTGGCGAGGTGTCCCGTGGCGCCGAGGTTTGTTTGCTTAGTGTCCACAAGTTCCCTCCCAAATACTTTTTACCTCCATTCGTGTGCGGCGAGACCCCTCACTCTTTAACGGCGCCGGCGGGTTGGCGCAGTTAACGTCGTCTGCTTTACGTCTGCTAGTCAAAGCGATGGCTGCTTTACCTTTCCTGCGTCTGTCGGAGATTCGCCGCTCTTTCACCGGCGAGAGTCACCGTTGCCTCGGGAAACAAGGAGATAACAAGAGGAAGAAATTGACCTCTTAATCTAAAATTGAGGTCAGCGATCAAAGTATAACACGGGAAGGGTTCACAAGGGTCGCGTGGGCATATTCCATTCAGCACGTCTGCCGGTCGTGGGCAGACGGTCGCCGAGTCGCGGAGGGCCTGCTAGGCCTAACTGCCCAGCTCGTTTGGTCGCGTTCGGTGGAATCGTCGCCGTTGGAGCTTTTCCCCGGTGTCTGTGGATCCAGCGTTCTTGTTCGTCGTGCTCTGTTTCAAATAATTTTTACTTTTTTTTTTGCTGCTTTTTGTTGCGTCGGGACGCGTGAGAAGCTCGCGTAGAAAAATAAACGTCCGTGGGTCGTCGCAACCGCGACGCTGTCGGCCATGCTGACTTGATTGTAAGAAGTGCGTAACAGCTTCGGAGCTGTCGTAGGATTTCGCCGTAACCTGCGCAAAACTTACGAAACTTTCGTTTCGTGAATACGAATTTGTTCTTAAGTTTTGTCTTACGCACATTTTTGGCGTAAGATCGTTTCGTGAATCTGGCCTCTGCACTCCCGAAAGTCGCAGGAAAGGTAAGACAGACGCAGACGACGTTGCGAGCAGACGACGTTGCAAAGGAGCAGACGACGCTCAGATAGGGGGGCTCGATCAGCCAATCAGGGCTCGGTGTTCTGACGTCACCGCTACCCCCTGCGCAAGGAGCAGACGAACTTGCCCTCCGCATAAGAATTGGCTGGACTTAATTCAAGCCCCGATCACGGCGCCCCAGTGGCAAACGGGTCCATTTCATCGGAAAGCGTCTGCCGGTCGCTGCGTTGGTTCTGCGCGGGATAGCACTGCAATTTCAAAAATGACTATTCCACACCAAAAAAAAGCCACAACAATTGCTGCATGGTCGGCTACAAAAGCACGTACAAGAACGCACACGGCACAAAGTTTTGCGGCTTCCTTTCAAAGCCTTACACGGTGGAGCTCCGCGTGACTTAGGTGCGACTTGGGCTTAAAGCCGGGTGTGGACTATAGTCGGGAAGAAACGTTGGTGCAAATAAGTCTCTTAACATCCCGATGGTTGGTACACAGCACGAGACAGATAACAGAACCAAGCAATTGCCTTTTTTTTTGTTTTTTTTCCTCTACCTTTTCAGAATTGAAGTCCTATCATAAGAAACACTACCCTAGTATAAACCTTTCCAGCGGCAGTCTCGAACGAAGCGAATTACAGCGCGCGTCCCTGGTTTTGAGAGGGTATGTCACTGTTGCCCGACAGTGTTGGGCTGTGGGTTTTCTAGTCAGTGGGCTGTGGCAGCCTGCATAGGCGTACTTCCGGACGCTGGTGGAGGCTGAATTGCCGCATTCTATTCTTTATTTTGTGTTCTATGGCGAATAGAACCTCTTGGGGTTTTTAAGGATGCAATGCACTATTTTGGGGAACAAAAACAAAGAAATGAAAGCTGTTTTGGTGAGTCCGTGCGTGACAGAACAAATGCAAATGGAATGTTTGTTTCATTTTACGTTGATGTTTTATGGCACTGTGCACTCAGCCGTGTCAATCTACAAAGGTTTTAGCTGTCGAAAATATTCGACCACACAGGATATCCGAACCGCATGGATATTCCCCGCCCACAACATGAAACTCAACGAGTCTCATCAATTGAACAACATATGTTGTACGTACCCCACGGTGCCGCGTTAACCAAACAGGATTTGAGAAAGGTCTCAAATAACACAGCATATCCAATATACAGGATCGACGATAGTCACTTCACGACAATCGGATGGAATCCGGCGTGTTTTGGGGAACATGTAGAAGAGAGCTGCCTTTTTGCACAGCTTCAAAGCAAATGAACGAACATGCCTATTCCGACCCCACAACCCGAACCCGACCCCATCAGCTATTTTTCGCGAAGACCCGGAACATAGCTGGGAAGGCTTTTTGGAGATTATCTCAACGGAAATAATCCTCCAAGAACGTCGAACTGCCTGCGTCACGGGCTGCTTGACGTTGGCTCTCTTTGTTCGTTTCCTGCGAAAGCCGAACAGGCTACGAGCCCTGGTATTCCCTAGCTCTCACAGTGGAAGATAACACAAAAAGGGTAAGCATCCTAAATAGGCAAATGAAGTAAAAACTTCCAAGAAAAGCCGGCGAACTCCGAATGAACAATGCAGGCGGGAAGTCACGCTGACTGGGTTTCCACAGCTCAGGCGGATGCTAGAAGTTTCTGGCTGATAGGGGTCGCTCGATTCGCCAAATAGTGATGGCCAGAGCGCTCTTTTTGCAAAGGTCTATAACTGAAAGTGCTCATTTGTGGCACTAATCAAACTGGTAAATTTTGGTGCCCATCGATGCCTTGTCCAAGCAATATACAAAAATATGCTGATGTCACACTTGCAGTAACCATGTCACACAGAGCACGTACTGAATGTCTTCGCATCCCAGAAGCGATACGCATCAAACGGTACAAGACAGAAATGGAAATTTATCCCGAGAACCGTCAAACCATCGTAGTGCCAGAGCCTGCTCAGCCTCTCCGTTCCTGTGAAGCAGTTCTCAAACGGGGGTTTACGGACCCTTTCGGGTCCTTGAAGGCCTTCTTAGGGTCCCCGAAGCCCTCGACCATGCAATAAACTTCTTTTTTTTTTTTACAGCCGAGCTGTCAAGGATTAGGTTCCCCAGGATCGTGTCCGTGTATGTCGACACAAACCTATCTGGAAAGCTACAGCCATCTATAAGCGACGGCGGCAAGTATGTTTTCTGCCGTCGCTCGTAGATGGCGGCAACCTTTCCAGCTATAATAGAAGAATAGATAGTTGGGTGCGTAGGTGGGAATTCATCGTAGGAAACAGCGCGAAAAACAGACGACGACGAAGAAGAAGCACACAGTGTATCGAGTACAGCTCCGCTGGCTTTCCTTCTTCACGAGAGTGGAAAGGCTGAACGTTTTAATTGATGCTGACCGTCTCACATGTGCACCGAGTCAGTAGGGTTGATTAGTCTATGTTTCAGAGCTTCAAAGTTGGCTTGCATGCATTTAGTTTTCGTTATTTACCCTTTTGTCATCATAATCGTCCTATTATACCCCCCCCCCTTCGTCCTCCTTCACTGGAGGATGGGGCCCTCGAAATATTAGTGGTTGAAAACCACAGTTGCAAAGCATGGGTCCTCAAACTGGGTTCATATGAACCCAGGGGTTTCTCAGAGTACCCACATGAGTTCCCTGAACTCCCAAATTTACTCTAACGTCCCCACAACTCAGTGAAGCAATGTTCCGAACCACTCGTCGACGCAGAACTACAAGCCAAGCACCCTCAGTGTGTGGAACATCGTTCACAAAGTCTGTTGGGTCCTTCACCGCTTTAACGCATCAATGCAGGGGCCAGGATGGGCTTCTCGACTAACGGTCAAAGAGAACTGAGTATGCTCGAGGTCGTTTCAGAACCCCCACTGTACAGACGTAAATGACTGGATTACTAATTCAAACTTGGAGATTTTACGTGCCAAAGCAACTGGCCCGCCCCAGCGGGGGACCGAGGATTCATTTGGATCACCTGAGGATCTTTTGATGTGCAACTGAAATCTCGATTATACGGTGCTTTCGCCACAATAAGCCTTCGTCAGATTGCACGTACTTTGGTCGGGATTCAAACCTGCCACTTGGGGTCCATAGGCCAGTGCTTTGCCTTGGAGTCACTCGAGTAATTGAGTAATTGTGTAATTGTGTTGTGCGTTTGACTCTGATGTGTTTGTCTTTGAATTGTGCTGTGTGTTTATCTTGGATGTCTTTGACGTAGATGGGAAATTTAGCCGGTGCAGTACGACCGCTAACCCAGGGTCTTTGGTGAATCGGGCAGTAGCAATAGACAACTGCACGCCAGTACGATGATCATCCAGACTGAAATGGGCAGGGATGGGGGTCGAACCCAGGGACCCCGGTACTGTAGCACAAGCTTCGGAGCATTAACCCACTCAGCCACCGATCTTCCCGGCGGGGTCGCCTGCACTCACTCTGATTGCGCAGGCACCGGTGAAGGCCACAATGACGGCAACGGTGTTCACCGTCAGTTGGAACTGGAGAAACTTGGCAATGCTGTCGTAGACGTTGCGTCCCCACATCACCGCCTTCACGATGCTGGTGAAGTTGTCGTCGGTCAGGATGATGTCTGAGGCCTCCTTGGCCACGTCCGTGCCGGCTATGCCCTGCACAGACAACACCGTGAGCATTGCACACCCCACGAGCCAACACGGAATGGTCTTCTGGCTACGGAAGCAAAGCTCTCTTAATTTCGATTCCTTCAATTAAAAAATGAATCGACATTTCCTTATTGGTTCCCCACAGTGCTCACTATGTGTTTGTATGAGACTGTAGTAAAATATGTCTGTTCACACATCCTGTGAAGCGCTCTAAATTTGATCTGTTTCCGATTATCGGGCCCACACTTGGCACAGCGTCGTTGAGGAAAGCCAGGCGGGAAGAGAAGAGGAGCCCGGGCAGACATCCACCCACCATGGCAAAGCCGACGTCTGCCTTCTTGAGGGCGGGCCCGTCGTTGGTGCCATCTCCCGTGACGGCCACCACCTCCCGGTTGTCGTGCAGCTTGCTCTCAATGATGCCCTTCACCAGGTTGTACTTGTCCTGCGGGGACGAGCGGGCCAGCACCCGCAGCCGGGGCCACACCTTGTCCAGCAGCGCCTGCTGGATCTGGGACGGACAAGGAGGGATGGTGGCTCAAACATGGCTCGGCAAAGCGAAATGGGACGCAGGGTTGTGCCAAAGGTAGGGTCCCGTCGAAGGCTCTCTTTTTGAGTCACTATAAGGTGCTATCGATACTGGGGCTCGCTCTAACCGAGGGCTGCGCTTCCGACGCCGTCTTCTAATAGGTGCAGTGAGCAGACCGAGTGCGTCGTCTGCGGACGGTGCCAGTCCGGAGACGAGACTACAATCGCAGCCCTCGGTTCTCACGGTTGTGGTGCCCGAAGCGCGTCTCTGACAAGCGTGTTTAGCGTCCTTTCCCGACCATACATCAAAAGTGGTCCTCAAGTGGCAACTGATGACGTCGCAGAAGCCGGAGCGTTACGCTGTTGCATGTCACGATCCTGGCGGTTAGTCGTAGAAATGCCGACAAAAAGCACAAGCAAACGCAAGTGTCGCTGTCTTCACAGCAACCCAACTTCCAGCTGCCGAAGCTTCCGTAGACCGCCACATTGAAGAGTGACCTGCAGTAGAGCAGGTGTCCACCACATCCACCACTGCTGCTGGGACACCGCCAGGATCACGACCAGTGACAGCATGGCACTTTTATGACATAGCCAGGTAGAAATCGAGGGACCGTTTTTTTGGACGTGGCAAACACGCCCAGTTGGAGACGCGCTCCAGGCACCATAACGTGATTGCTTGTCTCGACATCCGCCGCGATCGCATCTATAGTGTCGATCGTCATTTTTGTGGGAAGGAAGCACTGTCTTGAAATTTCACAAGGCCCAGCCCCATCCACAAAAGGTTGCTCACGAGGCGTAGATCGCTACGCACGAGTGTCCATTTTTCTGGCCGGTCATTAAATGTGCAATTCTGCCGTACCATTGTCCCGCTTGCCCACCCACGTTCCAAAGGAGGCCTCACCTCTCCGCTCGAGTCTCGTATCCGACGGTTGAGCTCCTTCCCCTCGAGCACGAGGAAGTCGTCGCCAGGCTTGATGATGCCACACTTGAGCGCAATCGACCGGGCCGTGTTGACATTGTCGCCCGTCACCATGCGCACCGTAATGCCCGCCCGCTGGCATTTGCGGATAGCCTCCGGCACCTGCAACCGGAGGAAACCTCCCTGGTGAGTGCCATGCTCAAATCGGAGGAATTAGACGAACTGCAAGAAGGCCGAAAGGAGAGTGTAGCTGCGCCATGTGAAGGAAGCCTACCATAGTGACCGGCAAAGTGAAAACGGCAGGGCATCTCTTTGGAATGCCAGATGTGAGTCCCACTGAAGGCCTGTTCACACTCTTGCGACCGAGTAAGACCGAGAGAGACCAGACCCATTTTTAAGCCTCTTGCGATCTCTTAGGACCAGCTCCGCTGCAGCGCATCCGGTCCTAAGAAGTCGTAAAAGGCTTAAAAACCGGTCTGGTCTCTCTCGGTCTAACTCGGGCGCAAGAGTGTGAACGGCACTTGAGACTCGAGTTCAATCGGTGAGAACGCAAGTCCTGGCTGAACACCACTGCGTCCAATCTGTGACCGGTGCACTGCACAGTAGCAACACCCCCGAAAGCAAGCCCTGCGGGTATTGCTTCTCCGCAGTGTACCAGTGCTCGGCAAGATGTGTACGCAACAGGGCTAACCCGCTGCGATTAACACTTCGAAAAGTAAGAATATTGAAGTTTGTCTTGAAGCAAATATCAAATAGCACTATTATTCGAAACTACTATTGGAAAATTTGAATAATCGCACAACACTAATCAAAGTTCAAGGACATGAGTACCGTAATATACCGAGTCATCGCCCACCCCCCTGCCGCCCGAGATTCATAAAAAAAAAGTGGAGTGGGCCTTGCCTCAGTGGGTAAGTACAGAAAGTTACGAAAAACTTTCAGCCTTTCCACTCTGGTAAAGAAGGAAGACGAGCAAAGCTGTACGCTCGTCCCTACAGTAGACTCATTAATTCAAATTACAGGAAGTCACAGGTTTTAGTTTGAATTATCAGAAGTTTGAATTATCAGAAATTCATCTAAACATGATACTAGACGACATTATGATTTGTTACATGGATAGCTACTCATACAAAGCAGAGTTTTGCCAGTTTCCTCTACGCAGGCCTAATTATAAGCAAGTACAGGCATAACACATTGGTGAAAGAGTTGTGACGTTAAGTGTATTCATCCGACAAAAAAGTTGTCGATTGTGGACTGTTTAGACAGCACATACGATCTCAAAACAAAATTTTCAATCCCAGCCAACGCAAGTAGCTCTTTACGGGACTCTTCCTTTGCAGACAGAAATTTCTGGAGTTGAGCGATGTGCTCAAAGCTGTGGCTGTGACAGTTGGTAGCAAGTCATCCCTTTCTTCATCGTCATCTTCACTCTCACTGCTGCACTGTGCAGGCATTTCTTCCTGTACTATGTCCTCTAATGAGTCATCACGAGAAACACACGCATCGTCGTCAAGACTAGCATATTCCGCCAGCTCGGCGTTCACATTATGTGCTTCAAGGCCAGAAAGCATGATGCCATTGAGCTGGTCCTTATCCTCAATGTCGTCTTGGTCATCATTGCTAGTCTTGAAACACATAATGGGAACGCTGTTTTCCGCTAATGTGTGCCCGCTTGAGCCCCATTGAGTGCGTAACATTCCGAGCACCAATGCACTGCAGAGAAGCAACACTCGCAAAAGCAAGCTCCGCAGGTATTGCTTCTCTGCGGTGCACCGGTTCTCGGAAGAGGCGCACTCAAAGGGGCCGCGAGAACAAAAGAGTATGAATTAAGCGAAAACGCCGTTCGAATTACCGTATTTGCACGAATATAACGCGAGTTTTTTTTTCGAAATTACGTGCTCCAAAACGCACCTCGCGTTATATTCGGAATGGAGTTCAGCCGCGAGGCGCGCGAGTCTGGAAAAAGCCAGAGGAGAAAGTCATCCCTCCGGCTCAATGCAAAAGATCCAATGGGAAAAGAAGTGGGGGTGCGGAGGGGCATTTTTTAGCCATTGGGCCACGTGAAGGGGCAAATATAAAACATAAAAAAGCATTTTTCTCGCTTTTGTGTTTTTACAACGCGCGCACGCCGCACGCGTGCGCGTCATGCGGGAATGCGGGCACCGGCCAATTCGAGCCAAGCCAAGCCGGGCCAAGTCAAGTCAACACAAGCCAAGCCAAGACCACCGACCGCGTGCAACACGAGGCATTTGTTTACGAAGAGGGACCAGTACAAGAAGTGTGATCGTGTATCGGGTTCAGCTGTCTTTTCTCTGCCTGCGCATTGCTTAGTTTCTGCTCCAGAGTGGTCTGGCGTTTGTGTGTTGGCGCTTCTGCTTCCACGCCTTGTTTGGATTGTGGGCTGCCGAGGAGCTCCCACGGAAGAAAAACTACCAGACAAGCAGGTGCCGTGCTTATCTGCGTAGTCGCCAAGTGGAAGGACCTGAGCAGAGAGGATGAGTGCAGTCAAAACATAAACTGATATTTCTTCTATTTCCATTTACTTTTCACTTCTGCTGTGCCCCCGACTGCGAGAAATTGACGCGGCATCGGTTTGCGTTATAATAGTAATAATATTTTTTTTCTTTTTGGGGGCATCAAAAACTGCCCTCGCGTTATATTCGTGGTCGCGTTATATTCGTGCAAATACGGTAGGCGACTTATAAATACATTAAAAACATAGCGGGACAACCAAAATTTTCAAATCTGTTTGAATTAACCGGAAGTATGAAATATCAAAGTTTGAATTATCGTGAGCCTATTGTATTGTTTCTTCTTTGTCCTTGTCTGTTTTGCGCGCTGTTTCCTACAATGAATTCCCACCAACTCGCCCCACTATCCCTTCTACTATGATAGCTGGAAAGGTTGCTTCGCTCATAGATGGTGGTAGCTGTCCAGAGTTTTGCGTAGTTTTGTGTCTACATTTGTTTGGTACCAGACACGAAAGTGGGGAAACTAGCCCTTCGCAGCTCCGCTGTAAAAAAGCTAAACAGAACGCCAATTTTTTTGTATATATCTAGCGCAGCTGCACAAGAGATACATTAAACTCAAAACTCGAATTAGTTTTGATTGTTTCATGCAAGAAATGCTCATGAAAGGATGTTTGACTATAGCAAGGTTCATTGCTTCCATACGTGCAATGAATACCACTGATCAGCATACAGCACAAACACTTGTTCCATGAAGGCTGATTTCTTACTACGCTTTGTTCTCTTCGTTAAAAAAAAATATAGACAAGAAAATAGAAAAACCGACAAAGCGGAACGAACGAACGAACAAGCGGGCAAAAGAAGCGACGAAGAGCGATGCTGGGGAAGCAGGAAAGCCGGCGATCGCGTTGGCAAATACTTTGGAGTCGGGCCAAGTTGGGCGCCTTGTCAATCACAAGGAACAGGCAGGCTCTTGAGCAACTTTCTTGTTTTGTGCATAAAGGCGTGCGTCCGTGCTATCAATGCGGGTTGAGACGTTGTTGCACCGTGGCATGGACAGCACCATGAACACGGAGCTCGAAATGGGATGCTTTACAAACGTCTGCATGCAGCAACCCAGCAAATCTTTATTTACCCATTGGCTTTGTCTCAAAACATTGCACAACCTCACCAACCACGGTCGCAATGTTCCAGGAGAAGGGAGCGGGTTCGCGGTGATTTCAGTGGAAATGGACTTGGACCTTACGCTCTACAGTTACATTCCAGGATATGGGGCGTTCGCTCACCTCGCTATCCCTGAATTGGGAAATGCATGTGTTTCCTTCCCTTTTTTTCTTTTTTTTGAACAAGCTTTTTTTATAGGCAAAACAAAGTTTTATTTTGTTATCTCCATCGTTTTCCTTTCGCACGGACGTACACCGACTTCGGGGTCGCGGAAATCAGGGAGGAAATGCATGAACAAATTAAAGTGTCTTTCCATCCTTCGTTTTACTTTGTCACGGACGTCCTCCAACCGTAAGGTCCGCGGCTGCGTCATTTGGGTAGGATGAATGTTCACGGATTGCGAAGTCCGCATTGAGGTATTTGTAGGGGTGGGCGATCACACAGTGTTATATTGGAAATCGATATTCGCCCAAAAAGTGGGGTGGGTGATGTATATTACGGTAGTTGCCGAAGCGGAGGTTTCAAGGCAAAAATTCTCTCCATTCCATTTGTCTAAAAACAATCGGCGCCTCAACAGGGAAGAAAGCGGGTGCCGACCTCTGCTCGGACGGGGTCCTCAATGCCCACGACGCAAAGGCAGGTGAGGTCCCGGATGATGTTGTCCTCGTCCTCCCAGTCCGGCTCCTCCTGCAGCTGCACATCGTTGCTCTTGGCCGTGCCCGAGAGCACATAGTCCTTGTAGGCCACGCAGATGGTTCGCAGGCCATTGGACGCCATCGGCTCGATCACAGTGCGCACCAGGCGGTCTTGCTCGTCCGACCCAAAGCTCTCCAGCTGGCCCCCGTTGCCGTAGAGGTACTTGCACCTGGCGTGGAGGGGAGAAAGCCCGTGTCAACCCAATGGGTTTGGCCACAGGAAGGTGATTGTGCGCGATGAAGAGGGTTAATAAGGGAGACGAATGGGAAGAAAAAAGGAAGGAAAAAGCAGTAACAGTGACAGTGAAGGTTAAGCTCGAGAATGGCAGGACCATCGTTGCCAACGAGTTGCTCCTAATTTAAGATGAGACCCTAACTGCAAATATTGTGCTGATTTTTTGTGTTCTGTCCTATCCTGACAATTAAAAAAAGATTTTAAGAAGAGTTCACTCACAGGGTATTTATGCTCACCAAGTTTTTTATTTGCACATGACATATGAGAGCCCAACTACCCAGAACACAATTTTCGGCTCGAAATTCGCTTTCTTTCTGCCCAAAAACTGCCAATCAACAACTGGTTGGTTTGAGTCACGCTCACTCTCTTCTCCATGGTCACCTGCAGTTCTCTATGGTTTAGACAAACACACCAAATATAATCAAAGTCGTCGGCCATCAAAAACACATGCTCAATATTAAAAATATAAAAAAAATTGTAGAGCCCTTCCACTTTAAGTGAAGATGAAGGACCAGCGAAGCATTTATCTTTACGACGTCTAGGACGACGCCTAGAGGACGACGTCTAGGACGGCCTCAAGGACGACTTCTAGGACGACCCTGAGGATGATGCCTAGAGGACAACGTCTAAGATGACCACAAGGACGATTTCTAAGATGACAACGAGAATGACTTCTCGGACGACCTCAAGGACGACTTCAAGGACGACTCCTAGGACGACCTCGAGGACAACGTCTAAGACAACCTCGAGTGCGATGTCTAGAACAACCTCAAGGACGACTTCTATGATGACCTCGAGGACGATTCCTAGAGATGATAACAAGGGATCAGGACCACGACCTCTAGGACGACCTCAAAAACGATGCTTAGAGATGGTAACAAGGGATCAGGACCTCACTATCTAATAACGCCAAGGAAGGCTGGCTCACGCTGGTTGCCCCCTCTTTTTATTTTTATTTATTCATACTTGCCACCACCAATAGTGAGTTTTTTGCCAACATCCACGGATGCATTTTTTCCCAGATACTAACCCATAACAGCCTTCGCTGCAAAAAAATATGATACCCATTTTTCGTGACTTGTAAAAAGCTGCAACGACGTTGATTGAAAAAAAAAAGTTCTGCAGGAAACCGGAAGCACTCTGTGCATTCTCTGCATAATTCTCAACATGGCGTTGTATCACAGACTGGACAGCTGAACGAAGCGGACCAAGCGATGGCGGCAGACGACTGGCGTGGAACCTCTACTTCAGAACTGTTATTCGCAGTATCGGCGAATCTGTCTAGATGTAAAAGAGAAATCGTTTACCGATCAAAACAATCAGGATTTATTCCATACGACACACCCGACCACCAAGGTGATTCGCACGAAGACGTCGCCAAGTCATCATCTCTTCTCCTGGCTGAAGACATTGCTCATCTTATGAACGCGAATTGGTAAAAGGTTGAAAAACGTGCCAATGTTTTTCAGCCTCTTACCAATTCGTTAAAGTGCAATGTGCAACGAGCAAATTTTTCATATGCCTCGCACAACCAAAACAGGAAAAAAGAGAAAATGCGGCTCGGTGAAGCCACATGACTTCCGGCAACTCTTTCCTCCTCTACATTTCTCCTTCCTTCCCAGTCCAGTTTCGGTCCCGGCTTCGAGCAGTTGCGTTTTTTTTACTTTATTAAAAATATATGTTATGCTGTAGCAACGTATTGATTGGATAGTCTTCTGACACCATATTAAATTACCTGGCAAAAAATTTTAAAAAATGTTTTGGGGCGTGTCAGTGTCCCTTTAAGGTTTCCTTGCAACATGCTAGCTTTGACCAGCTCTATCAGTCTCATTTAACCTCCAACTTCGCTGAAGCAAAAAGCGCTAGAGTAGACAAATCCACTTAAAAAAGGGACACAGTGCACATGTGCGAAGAGCGCACCCCCAAACCAGCAGTTCTTCGTCAAAGACGCACGAGATGCAGTCTCCGAAAAGTCGATGCCCTCGGCTTGTGCAAGCTCACCAAACGAGGAGAAGGAAGAAGGAGAGGGGCTCACTTCTTGAGGACAATCTCGGAGGCCCCCTTGGTGTAGACGCGGAAGCCTCGTCCTCCGTCGAGGGCGACAACTGTGCTCATGGACTTGCGGACAGAGTTGAAGGTGTACACCTTGTGGAGCATCTCTTCGGGCACATCGTCCCTCACGCTCTGGTAGTCCTTGCCCAGGTCCAGCACGAAGCCCAGCAGGGCACACTCTGTCTTGTTGCCTACCTGTTTGGGCTGGCCTCCATCCTCCGATGGCTGCATGCACAGGGAAAGAAACGAGCAGGGTCACGATGGTTCAGACGATGCAGGAGAAAGATGCAGAGCAGAGGGGTCACCTCAGACTACGGTACGGGATACACAAAACAGGACCAAACGAGCAAACTTGCACGAAGGAAGACATATGAAAGAAAGACATTTTCAGTGTGTGTAGCAAATTATCATTTTAAAATTCCCCAACTTTTCCAGGTTTTCCCTGACAATTTCAGGTGAAATTCCCTGACCACTGTAGAGGCGATTAGATATATAAGACCATTACAACACAAGGCACTGAGCCTTGTGAGGATCATTTCGCAAGGGCTTAATCCAACATGCTTATTCCGGAATATTCGAGTTCGTCCAGTCCGGATTAAATGAGCACTTTCTTGCCGCCGACATCGTCAGTGAGGAGGCCACTTCCGGAAACACGATGAAAACACGACGCTCAACCACACAGACCAATAAACAAATGGCAGCATGGCCGCTAGATGCACACCTTCAGATACTTTCGGCTTAAAGGACACATGCAAAGGAAAGATACATTCTTTTTTTTAACAGCAGTGATGGAGGCGGCATTTGACCTTTTGTAGCAGGTTCTGTAGCAGGCAAAATATTGGTTTGGAGCAGCCACTGACGCTTCTGGAGCAGATGCCAACATCTGTTAGCACATCAGTTGAGAATGAGAAAGTACTTGCATCTCTAAATGAGTTCATTTGCGAGTGATCAAGGGTTCCTCTTTGATACTCAAGCATATTACTTCTCACCGCTTGCGATAAGAATAGATACGGAGTAAAAGTAAAACACTGTCTTCTTAAATAAGGCAGAGTGGGTTTCATTCACAACGGGTATAAAAGATGGTTGAAAAGTGAATCATAGCGCAACATTTCATTGGGATAAACCCTCTCTCCCCTCCCCATTTTACACTCACTAATTTGTTTAGCCTGCAAATATAATTTATGTAAAATGCCAGCATGAACCAGCATATCCGCCAACGTCTACTAATAAAATGCATCCCGCAAGTTTAATGAACCTACCAAACTCCATAAAGTGGAAAAACAACCGCCCAAAAATAGTCGAAAAGCCTACAGTTGCGCTTTAAAGGTGACACAACCTTTTAGCAGCGTGGGAACCAGAGTTACGTCAAAGTTCGCTGCTCTTTCGATCAACAGCCGTACAGGAACTACCGTGACTACTCTACTTATTCAAATGTATATAGTCCCGTGTTCGTTTGTTTTTTTTTCTCACTTTTTTTTCTTTGATGTTGTTGTTGTTGCTTTTTAATATCAACCTAGAATTAGAACAAAGAAGGTCGACCTGTAATAATCCTAAGCATAATTTGCGTGCCTGTCGCGCTAAGTAAGGCGCTCCACCAGGTCAGGGTGGGGGGGGGCCTTGTCAGGTAAAGTCTGTTTACCTTTTGCCCACTCACCCGTGGTGACTCAAGAAGTCCAAATAAAGGTTATTATTATTATTATTATAGCACCCTGGTGCAAAACGGTGAAGCTCGACACGCGCACGCTGGTGAGAGGCGGTGAAAGTTGATGCAAGCGGCACAAGTGCCACGGTACCCTGCAGCCACGGAATGAAGGCATGTGGCAGACATGACAATCAAGTGACCTGATCAGGAGTACGAGACTCCGGTTCTGTTTTATCACAGTAGCCGTAGTCGGAAATTCTACTATTTTGCAAAGTTTTCTGGGGACTCTTAGTTCCTTACATCGACGACATTTTCTAGAAATTAAGATGATGTCGGCGACCAACCAGCCAGCGTATCAGCCGGCCAGAGCTGCTTATGCCCAGCATCAATGGCTCTGGCCGGTTGACTTGCAGCATCAAAGCGTGACATCGTGGTATTCGTCATCTCCTTGTACGCGTTCATCGGCTAAACCAATCGAGTGCAGCGAATCTCCCATGACTTGCGCTTTTAGTGTGCGTGTTTGTGGCTGTATGTGTTCGAGCCTTCAACTGTGCTCTGACTTAAGACGAAACAAACAAAACTGCGAGTAGAGATGCCGTGAAATTCATATGTGTACAATTTTTCTTCCCTTTTTCCTTTTCTGAATATTAAGATCAACCAATAAAAAAATATTAATTTTGTTTGCTTCAAGCCCATCTGGGCAAAGGTGTGGCGCAATTCTTAGCCAAAATCGAATTTTTGTAGAAGTTGTAGCAGACTTTCATTCACGGCGCAATTTGGCGCAGGTGGCAAAGCACTCCCGTCACTGAAACAGCCTGGTTCGGAAAAGGAAGTCATAAAATGAATTTACAACGAAAAATAAAAACTTTGAGCTATATTTACGGCACTATACAAATTTGTAGTTGGCGCCCGTGGGCGCCGCGGAAAAGTGGCTGCTATTTATTGCGTGACTGGCCACTATTTGTCACGTGGTACTTGCGCTCTTTCGGAAGCTTCCTACAGTCTCTAAAAGTTACTCATTCATTTTTGTTTCAAGTGCAACAAAAAACGAAGGTTAATAAGTAACTTTTGGAGCCTAAAGAAAGCTCCTGAAAAAGCGCAAGCAGACGTGATAGACCTGTACGCTGGTCAGATGACGGCAGCGGCGCCGCAGAGCAGACAAACTTGCGCGGCGGCGGCGGGAGAAACGTGTTGACACGGCGGTGCACCACGCTCAGCGTGCGGCAGCGGCGTGACTTTGAGACCTCAGCGGCGACGCGCAACGGTGCACTGGTGTACCACGTGACCCGCGGCGGCTCCTGTGGGCGCCAACTACAAATTCGTTTTGCGCCGTAGATATAGCTCTAAAAATTTTTTCTTCGTTGTAAATTCTATTTACAACGTTCCTTTCCATCTAGGCTGTTTAAAAAAATGTTGTTGTTTTTTTTTTTTGCATGTGTCCTTTAAAGGAGAAACTATTGTGTTTTTGGAAAGCATTGTGCTTTAAATTCATGAAAAATTGAAAAGCTTGAGGTACACCTAAGCATTTGTTATGAGTTGTGAATACAAAAGCATGCAAGCCGTTCGTCCGCTCCCCTTGTCGTCTGCTGCGTAATAGTGCGCGTGCGTGCTTCGGGATCTCGGAGGCCGTGGCATGGCGGCCAATGGGAGCCCCATCGACACGCGCCAGCCAATGGAAACGAAGGTGATCGCAGAAACTAGGAGCCGTTTTCGCGTTTCAAACTGATGACATCAGCTCGCTCCAGGAGACAGTTAATGCTTTCACATCAAAACAGTTGCTTTTGATTGTATGGGCGAACTCGTGGAAATCGGAACAAACGTTTAATTTGGCATTTTATCTGATCCAAGGAATAATGATAACGTCAACATCAGGCGATTTGTTTCTTCATAGTGCTCCAAAATATGTTAGACTTTCTTAACTGCTTCTGTGATATAAACATTCGCTTGATCTGTTTGTTTATGAATTTCAGGAAACTGTTCATCAAGCTTGATCCCATGTCAGCAATCATTCAAGTGCTTTAAGAGCCCGCACAAGCGAGTGCGCGACTACTAATGGCCACCACGTTTGTTCTCCCTTTGTTGCTATGGCTACCACGCCGCCAGGGCGCGTCTCGCCAGTCTTGCCGCCTCGCGTCGTCTGCTTGTCCCTGCGCTTTGCCAACTCCAGTTCGCTTTTCACCATCTTTACGACCGTTCGCTTTTCACCATCTTTACGACCGTTTGCAACCCTTTCTTTTAGTAGTTTCGCATACATTGTTCGCATGTTTCGTGGCCACAAGAAATGCGGGGAATGAATTGGGAGACAGTGCACGCAGTCAATGCAGAGAAACAGTCCATGCAAGCTTCTTTGCATGGCAACCAGCATCGCGTTCCCTGCCTCGTGCGCTGGGAACCACTTAATTGTCACTGTGCTGGGGTTGCCCCCCTTTAACACCCACACGGCTTTGGTGCTCGCGCGTCCCATTATGTAGTTTCTTATGGCCACCATAGAGTCACTGAACAGCAAGGTCACTCCGGGGGAGGAGACGACCAAGGCTATGGCCACCTCCTCCACGATCCGCATTTCTCGGGTCCTGACACTGGCGGCGGCAAGGGTCGAGCCGTCCTTGGCTCACATTGACACCGCCATGAAGTGTTCTCCGTCCCGGGCCACGTCCACATGGACTGCTCCGTCGTCTTCTGTATAAGCCATGGTCAACGCTTTCGCTCTTGCTTGTCGTCCCCCTGCGTCATGCTCTGGATGCATGTGTCGCGGGATCGGGTGTTCGTCCAGTTTTCGCATTGTTTCTGCCGTAATGTTTGCGTCCGTGATGGGAGATCGGACGCCGAGATTCAACTTCTCCAACACCGCCCTTCCCGTCTTGGTCTTTTCGAGTCGGGCCATTTGTGCCGTCTGCTGTGCCAACACTATCTCCTCTAACTTTTTATGCACGCCCAGCGCTTCCATGGCTTCCGAGTTGGTCCTCGCCAGAAGGCCCAAGGCGTTCTTGAACACCTTTCGGATCATGCAGTTGAGCTTGTTCTCAGCCGCCATCCAGTTGAGATATGCCGCAACATAAGCAAGGTGGCTTATTGCAAGGGATTGCACCAGGCGCATAAGGCTGCCCTCTTGCATATCCCCTCTGCGGTTTGCCACCCGTTTGATGAGCTGGGCGGCTGCGTTGGTCTTGGTCTCCAGCTTGCTGATGGCTTCGGTGTTGCAGCCGCGGCTGTCAAGAATGAGGCCTAACACTCGGATCTTGACCGCACGTGGAATCCTCTGTCCTTCGCCCGTCCAAATGGCCAGGTTGTTCCATTCCTTGCACCTGGGGTTGATCACCAGACTTGCTTGGGGAGCAGATCAGGCCCGTTCCCTCCAGCTCCTCTTCGATGGCGTTCACGGCTTCCTGATGGTCATCTTGCGCTTCTTCCTCCACGTCGCTTAACGACCACAGCGTGATATCGTCGGCATATATCGAGTGTTCTATACCCTGTTCCTCGAGCCGTTTCACTACCGTGATCTTACCTATGTTAAAGAGCAAAGGCGAGATGACGGAGCCTTGCGGCATCCCCATGCTTCCCAGCTCTCGCTCCTCGAGGTTCA